TGATTACTGGTACGATCTGTTACCTGCTTGATTTTCCCAGTAGGCATATATCTCCACTTTATATAAAAAAATTGGTTTATATTAAAAAAAACGGTGATTATGTTTTACACATTTACCCTTCAGATCGAAAGTTGTAAAAGCAATTGGTTCCCAAGTACTCTAGTTGTAAGTTAAACTGTGTTGATTTGTGTACTTTCTGGATTCTAAAGGCAGGTGACGAGCCTGCGTGTCCCCCCATTTTGGAAGATGTCCAAATACTGTTCCCTGTTGTCCTGTGAGATCCTATCAGCACCTAATCCAGTATTTCTTCCACCTCTCCTTCACTCATTATGGAAACTTATTTTGGGCTACCAAAATATTCCACGAAACGTTTCACAGTGCTTTAAAAGCCCATAATATACCCACTTACATAACATTTGTACATAATATTTGTCCTTCTAGGAAGATTTACATAGTTACACAAAATAGAAAATAACAGCAGGAATTAATACAGTTTTAGGACCCAAATAGGTAGGAATAGATCTATTATAGTAGTATTAGGTAGATAGCTAGAATTTCAAATTCGAATGAAGTCAGTTAGACGCTAGCTAATTCAGTTACACATCAAACGTTATAGAGGCGGGAAGTGACACTTGAGTAGCCAGGAAACTGGCATTACTTTCTTTGAGGAACTACTAGAATAACGAAGCTTCCTCAAACACCAAAGATACCTATTAGTAGCCTGACAAGCCCCAGCGAACTGGATTTACGTTTCTATCAGCATCATTGGCCAATCTTTCTGCTGAAACGCGGGTTGAGAACGTTTGCTGGGAGATTTTGGCGGGTGTACAATAGCGAAGTCCGTCATTACTGAGGTACCAAGAGCATGGAAGTGTAACTCTCCCTCATACAAGTAAGTTGACTTGCCTTGTACAGTTACGAATTACACAACACTTTAGTTATGTGGAATTTTGTTGCATGGGCCATTGTTGTGCCCGAGATATTAACTTGGGTCGTCTGTGTCAACTGCTTTTGCAAATTTTGCAGCAACTAGGAGGCAGTTCGCCACAAAAAAAGAATCCACTCATGTTCCTTTTCACATTCACCCGAGAAATTCATTTCATTGGGCCACACGTGTTAGTGACCAATAAACTGTTTTAATCACTTCATTTTCATAGGAAATTAACCGGTACCACTGTAGTCTTTAAGTATTAGGTTAAGTCTACCCGAAATACCTCGGCATGATAGTGGCTTTCTTTGTACCAATCAAATTATGAAATGTAAACATACATTGTAACCTTAGCAAAGAAATAAATTTTTATTTTTTATTTTGATTTTGATTTGAATTATATCTCAAGCTTTGTGCCAATTATTTTGATATTAAACAAATTATTGGTGGGTTGGATGATCTCATATGTATTTGGAAGTCGAGACGCTTCTTGCCCAAAGCTAAACCCGAGAATAACTATATTCTCAGTGATAAATTTAAATAATTATACCAAAGGTCAGATCTTATATATACCAAGGGGAAAGTATCACAGATAGAGGAGTTGGCCACAGCTATGGCCACAGATCAGTAGAAACCAGGCTTTTTTTTTTTTTTTTTTTTTTTTTTTTTGACCCACGAGAAATGACCAAATAGGATTTTGAGAGCCAACCAAAAATATCAAAATGTCGCTGGAAGAGTTTGGTAGCAAACCTCCAGTCAAGTTAGGTAAATACCTCCGAAGACTCATAACTGTAGTGGTAGATACCTTATCAAGGGGGATAACCTGTTGTGCTATTGAAGCAGCAGCTGAGTTTAGAGTAAAGTTCACAGACCACAGAATTGTCTCGTACAGTGAAAGAAACTGCCATTTCGGTGGGATATGACCACTTTCGAGATTCTGTCATCGAGAATGGTGGAAAATCAGGGTATTTTCCTGTATAAAGGACAGGTCCCCTTCTAGTAATATCATAACCGGAATTTTATCGGTATGGTGGGTGTTAACAGGAAGTGGAACGACTTGGGCAGAGAAGCGGTGGAGACAGGATCCATAGAAGAGAGCTAACTCAGCCAGGAGAGGTTTTAGTTAGTTTAATATGTTTATTATGCACCCCATACCCATCCTGTGGGCGGTAGTCAAAAGATTACAGAGGTACATAATGGGTCCAGGGACTGGGCCTCAAAGTTTTGATAGCTGAGCAAGTTACAGAGGTAATGAATTCACAATTTACAAAGGTAATGAACTCACAATTTACAAAGGTAATGAACTCCAGGTAGGTCTAGTCACAATCATGACAAGTTACAAAGGTATTTACAGATTACAGAGGTACACAATGGGTCCAGGGACCGGGCTCCAAAGTTTTGATGGCTGAACTAGGTACAAGGTAATGAACTCACAAGTTACAAAGGTAATGAACTCACAAGTTACAAAGGTAATGAATACTGTAAGAATGGTTACTTACGTTTATACATGGCTGCAATCATGAACAAATTTTAGAGTAATGAGCAATTCACACTTCCACACCCGGTCACAACTGTAGTGAGTTATTGGTGCAAATGTTGATTGTTGAGTCTCTCTCTCTCTCACACACACACACACATACAAATTCATACACACACACATAAACACACACACACACACATACATACACAAACTCATACACACACACGCACACACACTCATACACACACACTCATACACACACACACACCATACACACACACACACACACACACACACACACACACACACACACACACACACACACACACACACACACATACACTCACACACTCATACACATACACACAAGCACACACACACACACACACACACACACACACCCATGTGTGTGTGTGTGTGTGTGTGTGCCAGGAGAGGAAACCTAGTAACAGTCAGAGGGAAGACTGGACCAAAAGCTGAAACTTAACCTTTGAACAATTATAAATAAATGAATATAAAGGGGTGAGTACTATACATAAATATACATATATTACAGAAAGGAAAATAATATATTTTCTTATTCCCCAGACACTATATGACCCTTACTGGTTTAGCGCTTTCCCACGAATATAATAACAATGTGTTTCAGTCCCTGTACGATCCGAGAAAGGTGTATCCCATATTGCATAATCTCAGCCCCTGTACCTCAACTCACGCAAAATCTTGTAGGTATACATCAAACCTCAAAATGCAGAGAATCTGCAGCCCAAATTCATCATAAGACGTAAGAGCCACAATTCAACCCCCTAACAGGTCCAAGAGCTGGCGATCAACACCCTCGAGGAGGCCAGGAGCTGGAAATCAAGCCAGTCTAACAGTGAAAATATTTATGCCGTAATACTCAGAAAAATCAACAGCTCAAAGAAGTGGTATCGCTCTTAAAAGTTTTCATTATTTTTTTCAGTTTTCTTTTTATATTAATACTCAGTTTGTAATGCTCAGCAACCGTAGAAAAAAATACGTTATTTGTATTTATTCATAAGAAACTAGGCACAGGAGGTTACAACAGTTCCCAGCCATGCACAGGCAACACTGGAGAATAAGTAAGTTTAGCGCTACTACTTGCCTCCCTTCTCCCTTCGCTTCTTGTTCTATCTTTTATGCCACTAAAACTACTCTTCCTACTTCCTACTACTACCATTTCCACTACCAGCATTACCACTACCACTACTTTTTCTTCCTCTTTGTCCCGTCCCTGTCCCCCCTCGCCTATAAATACTGACTCCCTCACTGTTTTTTTTTTTTTGATATTACTAAATGGTTATAACAATGACCATAATTTTTAAAGGAGTGGACCGGTAAGCCAGCGGAAGGCCTCGGTCAGATGACCAAAAGCTCCAACGGTGAGTCATCATCTAAAACCCACGTAATGAAACACTTGTCATGTTTCCTGGCTAACCTTACCTAACCAAACTGTTTTGTGTTAGTGTGACTTGGTAAATGGTCCAAGTTGGACTAAAGCCTCATCGTAAGCTTCTCTCTTCTATGTACGGGTTATTTCTGTATTAAACATGCCTTTTTAGCTTTTTTTTTCGTAGCTACATTTGGTCTTTATGTTCTACAGTAGGAAACATATTTTCTTATTTATTTCGATTTAAAAACGAAACATGCGTATTGACAGAAGCAGTAATGATTTTCCGACTATTTTAGTCTTGCATTATATAGAAACCAGTTGATGGAGCTTTATAAAACTCATGGCAGACATTTTCCTGCGCAAGGTGTGCTCGAGCACACTACTGAAAAAAACTATAATTAAAGGCTTGATTAAAATTGATTTTGTGATACAAAGATTTATTACGAGGAAAACCCAATATTTATGCAAGGCACCCGTGTAATGGTGACCTGTGTGGTGGTGGCCTGTATGATGGTGACCTAAGATAATGACCTGTGAATGTGACCTGTGTGGTGATAACTTGTGTGATGGTGACCTGTATGATGGTGACGTGTGATGGACACCTGTATGATGGTGACCTGTGATGGTGACCTGTATGATGGTGACCGGTGATGGTGACCTATGTGATGGTGACCTGTGTGGTGACCTGTATGATGGTGACCTGTGTGATGGTGACCTGTGTATGGCATCATGGTCGCAGCTGCGTCCCAAACCCACATTTAAATGTACAGTTTGCAGACACTCCCAAAAAAATTTTCTCTTGCGCCAGACAGAACACTTGGGCTTATTGGAAGGGCATCACCTCATCAATTATGGCCAGTCTGTTAAGATAAAAATATGAAAACCAATTAATCATACACCAACAAAGAGTAAAAGATATATATATATATCGCCAGCGAGGTTTCGTACACTATTCACCTGTTTACCAGGCTCCCGGTCCAGCCGGATCCCTGACTCCATTATAACGACCCTTATACTAACACAGGCTTAAAAGGGATGTATTGCAAGTGTAGTGTGGTAGTGGTGTATAGAGGATTTGTATGTGTTTCTGTGATGACAGTGTGAGTTAGGTGAGGTAGTGTAGTGGGGACTAGACTCGCTGGTGTGAAGGTGTGTAGGCTAGGCTCGGCAGCCAGCGCCACACGGTATGAACTTCAGTACAGGTAAAGCCTTGTAGGGCGTGAGGTGTCTCCACGGACTACTCCCCGACGCCCACACAAACACGTGATCTATGGTGTAGTGTGTGATAGTGAATTTATTGGTAGTGCGGTATTGTAGAGTGAGAGTTCTAGATACAGTGGTGGTGAGAAACTGAGCAGTGTTTCGAGCACTCTCCCCCCGGGAGCACAGCAAGGTATGGACTTTGTTTACATATTTCTTCTAATTTGTATCTCATAGGCAAACAAAAGTATAAGTTACAAAAGTATATGCATGTAGCTAGGTAGGGCTATATGGGATTCATTAGTTGAAAATGGAAGTTTTTAATGCAGGAAGACTAGAACGAGTAAGGATGGTATAGTCTTTTCATTTGAACTACTTTCGTCTCTTCACTACTAAACTCTTTCTACTACTCGATCACCTCACTTCCTCCAACGATACATCCGCTACACTACTCGTCAACAAACATTGATTGGGTCACAACTGAAAAGCTTGAGGTCGAATCCTGGGCGGGGAGGGACGTGCTCGCATGACAGTGGACAGATACTTATGGGTTAGGTTAGGGTAGGAGGTGGACATAGTGGAAATAAATGGTATAAGATACCGACACAATGGAAATATAAACATGCAGTTTAATGTGATCCTTTATTGACAACGTTTCGCCCACACAGTGGGCTTTTTCAAGTCACAAACATCTACTTGGGGTGGAAGGTACGCGACTATAAATACTCGCGTACCTTCCACCCCAGGTAGATGTTTGACTTGAAAAAGCCCACTGTGGGCGAAACGTTGTCAGTAAAGGATCACATTAAACTGCATATGTGCTTACATTTCCAGGTTGACATAGTAATAAAGCACAGTGCTTGGCTTTCTTGAGTTACTCTGAGTTAGGAGGTACGTAAGTCTTTTAATAACATATCCATAATTACTATCGCATTAGCTTTGTCTGTTTCGTAAGGTGAAATCTAGGCTCTTTCCTTAATTCATGGTATAACATAACAAATCTTTGAGGATAATTGTGTTGCAAATATTTGTTATACCATGAATTAAGGAAAGATTCTAGACTTCACCTTACGAAACAGACAAAGGAAGTGCGATAGTAATTATGGACAGGGTAGATTATAGTGGAAAAATTAGCATGTTACTGAATATATTGGTCGTCCACTCGTCAGTGGTGGGGATCAAAGCTCCCTGCGCCAGGCCTCAGACCAGGACTTTTAAATTTGAATAGAAATACTGCAGGACTAAGAACTATTAAGAGGCCAGAAATTAAAGATGAGCTTATATTGAATGTAACTAGAGTTTTTTAACTGTGGCAGAAAAGATTTCTATGCAAACGTAGTTTTTTTTTTTTATCGAGAAAGACTTAAGAGAGCCATATATTATAACACCCTAATGGAAATAAGTCACACTGACCTCATTAGGTTATCCAGGGTTAAATCTTCATCACATCACAGTTTCATGACTAAAACATATATGTGCCTTCTGTACCAATGTACAAATTTATACTGAAGATTTTCCTTAATGACTAATCACATGTACTTAAACATTGTTAAAAATACAAAAAAGTAATACTTTTACAACTTCATCATTTGTGTAGTAATTTACACTATGACTGGACCTCGAGACGACTGTGTGAATGACTGGGGATAGTGGCCTTTCACCATTCATGGTTTCACCACCTTACGTGTGTGTGTGTGTGTAGTTGGAGTATACCTGGAGGGTGTTCCGGGGGGTCAACACACACACTTGCAGTGTGTGTACTTTTCTATTTACGTTGACCAACCTCTTGAGTATGACCAGGGTCACGAACTCGGTGCCCTTATCTTACCTATTCTTAAAGCTGTGTATGGACTGTCGAGTCTATTTCCACCACCTTTTTGTTCAGACCGAGAGTGAAGGAATATTTCCTGACATCCCTCTTAATTCGTCTGTTCCTTAACTAATGTGTACCAGTTTCCCGTTTCTCGAATACCCTTTTATCTGTTTACTTTTTAAAGTCTTCTGAGTATTTTATTTGCCGATATTATGCCTCCACTTGTCTTTCTGTCCTCTAATGATATCAAGTCCAGTTCTTGTATCCTCTCCTTGTAGACAGTCAGACAATGTAGTTCATTCCCCCTTAGCTCGAGGACAAGTCTTGTGAGTGTGTATATATTACCAGGGCCCGTGTGTTAGTAACTAGTACCCGTGTGAGTCTAGTACTTGTTTACAGTGACCAGGACTTGTATGTGTTGGTATAGTGACTAGAGCTAGTATTTTTTAAGGAAATGTTCTATAGCTGCTAGACCCTTTAAACCTAGTGTGTAGAGGTGTGTGTGTGTAGTTGTGTGGTACCCGGGTGCTGGGAGAGTGTGGGTGTGGGAGCGACGGTTACAAGGCTTCGCCTGCGGGGGTACAGGATGAGAGGGAGAGGGGGAAGGGAGGTGGTGGTTACACCTCCACCTCTTTCTCTGGGTGTTCACCAGACACTGTGTTCATCAGGTTATGAACCTGGTGGCATGACACTTTGACAATATGAACAGAAGTCACATTATTATTGTATAATGTGTGTGTGCGCGTGTACTCACTTATATGTGGTTGAAGGGGTCGAGTCTTAGCTCCAGGCTCCCGCCTCTTCACCGGGTGTGTACACTCGCCTATTTGTATTCGCCGATTTGTGGTTGCAGAGGTCGATTCACAGTTCCTGGCCCCGCCTTTTTGCTGGTGTGTGTGTGTGTTGTTCACTTCAGTGAGGCTGAGCTCTAGGTCCCAGACCCATTTATTAACCCTCAACTGACTTATGTAGCAGATTCCTAGTTCTTATATTTAAAAAGTTGTCTCTCATCCTCATAGCTGATATAAATTTAGCATAAATTTCCCTTGGGGCAACTCTATGATTTGTATGAGTGGCAGCCCTTTACAGCCCTTTTTAAGACAGGCGAAATAACAGACCTGGTGAATGTACAGAGAACCTTCACTACACTTAAAGTGCCTAATTACTGGGAATGATTAAAGTCTCAACCTATACCCCCTGGAAGCAGGCAAGAAAGATATATCGTAATGTACGAATGGAAAATCCTAGTACCTGGAGAGGTTACCTGGAGGTTATTCCGGGGATCAACGCCCCCGCGGCCCGGTCCATGACCAGGCCTCCCGATGGATCAGGGCCTGATCAACTAGGCTGTTACTGCTGGCCGCACGCAGTCCAACGTACGAGCCACAGCCCGACTGATCCGGCACTGACTTTAGGTATCTGTCCAGCTCTCTCTTGAAGGCAGCCAGGGGCTTATTGGCAATTCCCCTAATGCTTGATGGGAGGCTGTTGAACAGTTTTGGGCCCTGGACACTTATGGTGTTTTCCCTTAGTGTACCAATGGCGCCCCTACTTTTTATTGGGGGCATTTTGCATTGCCTGCCCAGTCTTTTACTTTCGTAGGGAGTGATTTCTGTGTGCAGATTTGGGACCATTCCTTCCAAGATTTTCCAAGTGTAGATTATGATATATCTCTCCCTCCTGCGTTCCAGCAAGTACAAGTCAAGTGCTTCCAAGCGTTCCCAGTAGTTAAGGTGCTTGACAGAACTTATACGTGCAGTAAAGGATCTCTGTACACTCTCTAGATCTGCGATTTCACCTGCTTTGAATGGAGATGTTAATGTACAGCAGTATTCCAGCCTAGAGAGAACAAGTGATTTGAAAAGGATCATCATTGGCTTGGCATCTCTCGTTTTGAAAGTTCTCATTATCCATCCTATCATTTTCTTTGCACGTGCGATCGTGGCACTGCTGTGATCCTTGAAAGTGAGATCCTCAGACATTACTACTCCCAGGTCCCTTACATTATTTTTCCACTCTATTGGCCAGTGTCTTTAGTATACTCTGTCCTAGTTATTATCTCCTCCAGTTTTCCATAACGGAGTAGTTGGAATTTGTCCTCATTGAACATCATGTTGTTTACCGTTGCCCACTGGAAAACTTTGTTTATATCTTCTTGGAGGTTAACCGCGTCCTCAGCAGATGACAGCCTCATGCAGATCCTAGTATCATCCGCAAAGGATGATACGGTGCTGTGGTGTATATCTCTGTCTATGTCTGATATGAGGATAAGGAATAAGATGGGGGCGAGTACTGTGCCTTGTGGAACAGAGCTCTTCACTATGGCAGCCTCCGATTTAACTCTGTTGACCACTACTCTTTGTGTTCGATTTGTTAGGAAGTTGAAGATCCATCTCCCTACTTTCCCAGTTATTCCTTTAGCACGTATTTTATGGACTATTACGCCATGATCGCATTTGTCAAATGCTTTTGCAAAGTCTGTGTATATTACATCTGCATTCTGATTTTCTTCCAGTGCATCCAAGGCCATGTCATAGTGATCCAGTAGTTGTGAGAGGCAGGAGCGACCTGCCCTGAACCCATGTTGCCCGGGATTGTGCAGATTTTGGGAATCCAGGTGATTTGCAATCCTGCTTCTTAGCACTCTTTCAAAGATTTTTATGATGTGGGACGTCAGAGCTATTGGTCTATAGTTCTTAGCTAATGCTTTGCTGCCACCTTTATGGAGTGGGGCTATATCCGTTGTTTTAAGTGACTGGAATTTCACCCATGTCCAAGCTCCTCCTCCATAGTGTACTTAGGGCACGCAAGAGGGTTTCTTGCAGTTCTTAATGAAAACAGAGTTCCACGAGTCTGGGCCCGGGGCTGAGTGCATAGGCATGTTGTCAATGGTTTTTTTCGAAATCTATCGGAGTTAGGGTAATGTCGGAAATCTGGCATACATTTATGGAGTTTTGAGGCTCATTCATGAAGAAATCATTTGGGTCGTCGATCCTCAGACCGATAAGTGGTTCACTAAACACAGAGTCGTACTGGGATTTCAATATTTCACTCATTTCCTTGTTGTCATCTGTGTAAGTCCCATCCTGTCTGAGTAAGGGCCCGATACTAGATGTGGTATTTGCCTTGTTTTTGGCATATGAAAAGAAATATTTTGAATTTCTTTTAATTTCACTAATAGCTTTAAGCTCCTCCTGTCTCTCCTGGTTCCTGTAAGTCATTTAACTTAAGTTCAATAGTTTCCACTTCCCTGGTCAGCGCCTCCTTTCGTGTATCAGATATTCTAGCACTCCTGAGGAGCTCAGTGACTCTTCGTCGTCTTCTGTAGAGGGAGCGTCTTTCTCTCTCCAGTTTACTCCTGCTCTTCTTCTTTCTTAGGG